TCTTTGCATTGATAAATGTTTCTTCTTGCTCATAAAACCGACTTATCATTGTATTTGCAGCTGCTGTCCTGGAGACTTTCAGTGCCTGCCGAAATAGGGTTTTGATAGTAAAAAGCAGACTCTTGTGCTGTCTTGGATATTTACTTATCCATTCCTGACACACAAATGCCACAGGTAAAATGTTGTTGTGTGCCTTCAAGTTGTTTCTGGCTTATGGTGACCCTTAAATGACCCTATCACAGGGTTTTCTTGGCTTGATTTGTTCACAGTGGATTTGCTTTCACCTTCCTCTGAGGCTGAGCGAGTACAACTTGCCCAAGGTAAAATGCTTCTACCTTGTAATGCTATTTTTTGCTTTAAAATTCTAGGTAACCACAAGGTTACCCTTCAGTGACATCAGGCTGAGAATGATGTCTTATTTCTAAAAACACAAACACCTCAATATCAGACATACAGAAATATATATTTTCTGAAGAAACAAGGTAAGGAAAAAGAAGAATTCACTGGAAAAGGTGGTCAAAATGTGATCTGTAGGACCCAAGTTTTGCTGTGATTTATTTTCAGGGATATATATTTTCGCTCCCAAACCATGCAGACAGTTCTCCAAATATAGTGTCTGGCAGGTCAGAGTTCAAATGTCTGCTTGGCCATGGAAAACTACATGATGACCTTGGATAAGTCACACTGGGCCCCTCTATGGTGACCCAAAGGGCGGGCTACATGGGGTCTTGACAGGGACTCCCTCAACCACCTTGGAGGTGGGATGGACTCCCAGTAGAAAGTAGTCCAGCCATGCTGAATACATTTTGGATCCACTGGGTAGCCATCCTCGACTGGCTGGGAACCCCATGTCATAGTGGTCCCCAGCCAGTTGAAGGAAATCTCAAATCCTGGGGTATGAGACAAGCTTTCCCCTGATTTAGTTTAATCTGCAACATCCCCATGTGGTTTTTAGCTGTTGCAGGGCTAATCTGATTACATACTGGTCTAAGTGGTCAGTGTAGATAAGCTTACTTTCTCATCTTCAGAGGAAGACAATGGCAAACTTCCTCTGAACACATTTTGCATGATAGGTTCATGTTGGGATCATCACAAACCACAGCAAGCGAGAGTCCAAAAGTGGCAGGCTCAAACCCAGAACCTCAATCATTGGCTGATACCAAATGAGAGACTCCTTCCTGGGCACACAGAAAACTGGGCAACTTGGAAGGTGCTGAACAGAATGTGCTCTGGCTTTGAGTTCCAGGCATTTCAGATAAGGGATACTCAACCTTGCTGGTCTGTCCTAGAGCTTAGAAAACATACTGTTTTGGGATTACAACATTCAGAATCCTAAAGTCTACCACAGTCTACCTGTAGCTGTACTTTTCCAACCTTTTTTCAGTCTTGCCAAATACTGTACAGACTACTAACAGAAACCGTCTAGTTCTTGAAGAGATAAAGCACCAAGGAGAAGGAAGAATTTAAAGGACAAAAGACAAACACCTTCTAAACAAAAAAAAAAACCAACCAATCTTTGTATGCACAACTTTTTAAAACTGAAGAACAGATGTGACTGACCAAGCTTTTAAAACTTCTATAAGCATGTGACATTACATATCAGTAGCCTTTGAAAAATGCTTATGGCATTTACTAAAAATTCTCCAGAATGGGCTATTCTTAGTTTAAAAAAAAAAAAAAGGCAGGGATGACACGTCCCCCACTCTAACATCTGTTTAAATTAACAGTGATGAGCTGACATAGAATTATGCATATTTCTTAAACTACAATATAGTTACATTAGCTGAATTTCCTGCTAACTGTCAAAAACCATGCTAAAATTAGAATGCTGCTTGGAAATGTAAATATGAGGCAGGATCCTGCACCAGGAGAAGCAGTTATGAGATGTGACACTCTCCCTATCTAAAACCCATCTGTTCTCAGCTGCAGTCCCCCCTCCCCCGTGAACTTAGCCATTTTTCTGGTTGGTGAAAGTTGAGAAGAGCAGCAGGCAACTTCCAGCCATTTTCCTTTAGCTGGAAATTAGCACATCTGCAGAGATGTTCAGGGCTTTGAAGATCTTGCACAGCTTTGTGTCCAGCTATAGGAAAATAGCGGACATCTCAACATCTTTTGATACCATCAACCATGGTATCATTCTGGGGTGGCTTTCTGGAATGGGTCTTGGGGGCACTGGTTTTCAGTGGCTCTGCTCCTTCCTACAGGGTCACACCCAGTTGGTAAGTTGGGAGAGACCTGCTCGGACCCCTGGCCTTTGACCTGTGGGGTCCTGCAAGATTTCATTCTGTTTCCTATGCTCCTTAACATCTATATGTAGTCTTTTCCACCAAATGCCAAGGAAGTCCATTGGATCCTGGACCAGTACCTGGCCACTGTGATGGACTAGATGAGGGCTAACAGGCTGAAGCTTAATCCAGACAAGATGGAGGTCCTCCTGGTCAGTCACGAGGTCAATCAGGGTATAGGTTGGCAACCTGTGCTCGATGGGGCTACAATCCCCCTGAGGACACAGGTCCACAGTCTGGGGGTCCTCCTGGACTCTACTCTGACACTTGCTGCTCAGGTGCCAGCAGTGGCCAGGAGGACCTTTGCACAGTTAAAACTTGTGTGCCAGCTGTGACCGTACCTCGAGAAACCTGACTTGGCCACAACTTAGTTACATTAAGATTGGATTACTGCAATGCACTCTACAGGGAGCTGCCTTTGAAGATGGCCCGGAAACTACAGCTGGTGGAAAGGTCAGCAACCAGATTGTTAACTAGAGCAAGTTACAGGGAGTGAACATCGCCTCTGCTGAAGCAACTCCACTGCTTGCCAATAAATTTCCACTCTGAATTCAAAATGCAGGTTATTACCTATAAATCCCTAAATGGTTTGAGTCCTGCTAAGCTGCTGGGGAGGCCCTTCTCTCACTCCTGCCTCCATCACAAGCATGGTTGGTGCAGATGAGGGAAAAGGCCTTCTCGGTGGTGGCCCCCCAGCTCTGGAACTCTCTCCCCAGGGAGATTAGGTTAGCCCCCACATGGTCCACCTTCCGTAAAGATTTGAAAACTTGGCTGTTCCAATGTGCCTTCGAATAACTTAGTTTAGCTCCCAATCAGGTCTGCCCAGCCTTATTTTATGGTTTGTTTTTTTTTCCAGCACTTTTTCCAGCACTTTATTCCCAGCCCTAGCCCTATAGTTTCCGTTTTGCACAAGCCCCTGCCCTTCCCCCAATGAACATGCTCATTTTTCCTGTCTACTGGTTGTTGATGTCGGTTGATGTATTTTTATGATGTTTTTATTTGTTGAGTTTGAATTGTTTTAATTATGTTGTTTATCTGTTCTATGTTTTTAATTGTGTTTACTTTGTAATTTTGCCTATGTTGGGCTTGGTTCTCATGTATGCTGCCATGAGTCCCTTCAGGGAGATGGTGGTGGGATATAAGAAGAAGGTTATTATTATTGTCATTACTGCTATTGTTATTATTATAATAATTATTATTAAAAATACCAGGATACTTCGGTTTTGCTTTCCTTAGTTTCCATTTACCAAGAAATGTTTGCATTCAGGGAGGCTGCAACAGGGAAAACATTTGGGGGAGAATTTTGTACTAAATTTCAACCTCCCTCCAGAAGAGGAAATTGAAATGGTTCCATCATAATTCACCAACATAATACCATCCATGTTTGACTTTATGTATTGCCATTGATTACAATCCTATACCCCAACATAGCTTGCTGCTATCTCTTGAAGATCTACATCAGCAGACACATGTCCATTTTGCTGTTGCTAAGTCTGCCTTCCAGAAATCATGTTTCTGCATGCCAGGTCTATGTCAGATATATAAAGCTGTGGACATTAGCTGGGTTTAATATCACAGGGTTTTTGTTCCCTTCTTACAGCAAATTGCAACTCAGTGAAAAAGAAAAGTCCTAATTACAAACCTTTTAACATATACACGATTTCTGAATTTCAGTTTTATTGCATTTCATGATATATCAAGAAGTTTTGAGATAGGAAGCATGAGTCTCATTTAATTACCTGTCTACTTTCATGGTTGTTGAGGGAAGAGTGCAAAAAGAACAGATCGGCAGATGTGTCCTTGACCCTTGAAATAAATAGGAAAACCCTTGTCTTGTGTGACAGCCTACACTTCTATAAGAAATCATTGGATCAAGGCAATTACTTACACACCTCAATCCATGAGTTCACCCCATTGAAATTAACAAGGTATATGTATATACAACACAAATTTACAAATTAATTTCAAATATACCTAGTGGATTTTGGTCATTTTCAATGAAACAGATCTAATGACACAAATGGAATTTTACATGTAAAGAGGTAGTTGTGAAATTAGATTTTTGTTATGAACCAAGCAACAGGTTTTAGGCAGTGCTCAAGTGAGGGTTTTTTTGTGCATCTATAGCTGGGATCAATTTTCACCATTACTATGTACCTTTGCATAAAAAACAAATATAATGCCATAATTTAAGTTGCTGGATAAAACTAAACAAATGGAACTAAGGTGGGTTGAAAGAAAAGCTTGAAATAGCAAACATATGCTTGTGTAACACCATGGTCAGGTTATTCTCTATTTCCACATTGAAAATCTCTCTGAAATAAAACCAATCATGCTTAAAGAATGCAAACACACGAGCACCACTGTTTTGTCACTGACTGTGGGAAATGAGGTAATAATATCAATACAGTAGGCTTTTGCAGTTCACATACACAATTCTCATACGCTTGCAAACAACGCATATGTGTGCCACCTGAAAATGAAATAAATAAAATAAAGCTTCTACATGGGAAAAATATCTCTAAGCCAACAGCTTTAGAATAAAAAAGATGGCCTTTGAAATGTTCCAGAAACACTTTGACTCACAAAGATGGCTCATACAAGAAACCTCCAGAATTAACATTTCCAAATAGCAGCAAAGGAGGGAAAATCAATATAAAAAAACTATAAGGAGAATCATTTGTGCCTTGTCAAATTAGAAACAAATAAACTTACACTTGTTGTATAAGCAGCTTCGGGGTCATCTTCTAATACGCGCGATAAGCCAAAATCAGAGACTTTACACATGAGATTACTGTTGACCAATATATTCCGAGCTGCCAGGTCTCGATGTACATAGCCCATATCTGAGAGATATTTCATGCCAGAAGCTATTCCACGTAGCATGCCGACAAGCTGGATGACAGTGAAGTGGCCATCATGCTTCTGCAACAAAAGGGAGAGTGTCAATGTAAAGGCTTCCTCTTCATTTTCTGATATTCTACTCAATCTAGTATGCTGCCACCATCTGTGAGGTACTAGGCTATGCTGCCACCCATTAAGAAGGGTTTCCTATTTAGTTTATTAATGGATCCCCCTATTTTCAAATAGATTCACTGCTACCACTCTGTAGTGTTTCTTTTGGTGTGTAGTGAGGTTCCCCCCCCCCTTTGAAATAGTACACTGAGACTTGAGTTACTAAAACAAGAACAAGTTTATTCGGAGTATGGAAGGGTCTTAATGGTTTCAGAGTTCTCTTCTCCTGAGGTATGAAGCTTTACGAGTTACAGTTTCAACAAATCTTAATGTAACTTTAGGATGTCTTTTACTTCAACTAGTTCTTTAGTTGTTACACTTCTAAATAAGTTTCCTTATTTGACAGATTAACTAAGGTTAGCTAATGCCCTTGTCTCCCTTCAGCTTCCTGCTGAAGTAAAGATTCCCAGTGGGATTTCTTCTTCTATTAGCACACAGCTAAACCACAAACCTAAATAAGTCCCCTTGACTTATTTAAATCACTCAGGCTAAAAGCTTTCCCTTAGTTTGGTTCACCACACATTTGAACCACCTTTCCTTTGGCTCGATGACCAAAGGACTGAAGCCTCAAAATGTCTGCTTCTGGTAAGTGCAGTTGGCTCCACCCCTTTTCCCATGGCAACCTAACTCAGAGTGCTGAGCTTGGTCCCATCCCCCTAGTTCTGCCATTTCTAAATGGTTAACTCTTTATGTACATCCATAACTGTCTTTTACCTCCTGAACACATACATATAATAATATTCAACCATCTAAGCATATATATATATACACAACCATATTTAACTGTAGAGATACATATACATAACTACGCTTAACTTACAGTTAAAAATCAATGCTTCTTCACAGTCAGGTTCAAGAATGTTTACATTTGCAGATTTGGCTAGTTTAACTCTGATCTCTAGCAAAAAAAGGACTAACCACTGGTTGCTGAACCACCACTTTCTAAACCAAGGACCTTCTCCCAATCTTGATTCCACTGAATTAAATTTTTGTTGGTTTTTGGCCTTCCTACAATACAACTTTTGCACGTTTGCAGTGTTTTATCTTTACTATTCTGCAGCTCATTCCTATTTCCACTGCACTATATACTATCACCCTTAGCCCTATAATTATATCTAGTCCTTTGTCTCCTGCATAGAACCTCCAACTTCAAAAGCAAACTTCTTCAAAATTTCTGCAGCCCTGATAACATCTGGTATAGGTTAGCACAGCACCATTTGCTCACTCAGAAGCAACTTATAGAGAGGGATGTAGTGTTCCCCCAGAATATGTGCTTTAATTTATGTGTGTGCCCATGTGTGGAATTATCCAATTTCACACAAAGGCCATGCTGAGAAAGATGATTGCTGAAGTGCCTTTACTCTGCATAGCTTATTGAGTTCTCCGCTCAGGCAGCAGAGGTGGCACAATGTTCCTCTGCATGAGCTCACTGTAGATGAGAGATGATCAGTCAGTAACTTGTGAAGCAAGGATTCACTGGTATGCAAAATAATGGAATATATTTTCCCCCAGTGATATATTTGAACAATAATATATCAACCTGTTTGAACAATAGAATTTCTCTGAATAGCTATTAACCCAATGTCTTTACAGCAGGGGTGGGAATTAAGCAGCTCTCTAGCCTTCTAGATCTTGAGGAACATTAGAAATCATAGTTCAGCAACATCTGGATGGCTTCATGATTCCTGCACTTGTTTATAGTTTCCTATGGAGACATTTGGGAATTGGATTGTTTAAATGAAGGAACCAAGATGGTGCTTTTATGAGAGAGAGAGAAGGAGCTGTGGAATTCTTTGGAGAGAGAAGATGGAAAAAAGCTTAGAGTTTGTTTGAGAGAACAAGTGAGGCACTTCTGGAAGGAATGAGTTGTAATTCAGACAGTATTCTACTGACAGGTAGTGAGTATGTTCAGTGAAATGTCAGAATGATTTATTTTAAATATATTTACACCAACCCTTCAGTCATTTGCTCACAAAAATTTGAAAGAGGGACATGACAACTAAATTACAAGTAATAAATATATTTTATGGTATAATATTTGCACTCCCCTCTCCTTGTAGGTGAAAATAAAAAGATATCATACCCATTTTTCTTTGGAAATGTTCATAATATACTAACTCAAGCCACTGAGTGAAATGCCCCCATCTGGCAATCATAGAAATGTTAATGAAATTCTCTTTTTTCACTTCAGACACTCTGCCCAGTTATTGTATTTTGTTATTGTTATTGCTATTGCAATTATCGTTACTGCGGGAAAAATATTTCCATCTTTAAGTGCTTGGTTTTATAATTTCCCTCTGGCATAAATCCAGTTTAATTCCAAGTAGAGCAATGTAAACTTAATGTAATGTTGAAGGCTTTCATGGCCGGAATCACTGGGTTGTTGTAGGTTTTTTGGGCTATATGGCCATTTTCTAGAAGCATTCTCTCCTGACGTTTCACCTGCATCTATGGCAGGCATTCTCAGAGGTTGTCAGACCTCACAACCTCTGAGGATGCCTGCCATAGATGCAGGCAAAACATCAAGAGAGAATGCTTCTAGAACATGGCCATATAGCCCAAAAAACTTACAACAACCCAATGTAAACTTATCAATTAGATCATTCAAGTGATCTACTCTTGTTTGAACTAACAACTGGATTTAGCCCATGGTATATAACTTTATTCTTTTCTCTTTTAATTCATAGAGATGTGCTGCTATTTTTTTGTCTCATAGAGTGAATTCATATGGGGTGAATGTGTATAGTGACACAGGGGTGAACATTTTCAGAATTCTTGATTTGTTTTGCTTCTGCTTTCCTCAGTGCGCACATGTCTTTTGGCATTGATAAAGCATGTACACCTATTAGTGCACACTCAGTTGACTTTCTTGCATTTTCTTTCTTTCTGCTTGATTGGGGCAAACATGCTCTCTCTAGTAGGAAAGCCAGCAAAAAGAAGAAGCAATAGCTTCATGGGCACCCTGAAAGATTTCCCTCTTCAAACCTTCAGCAGGTTTGCAGTCTTTGCCAACCTATGAAAAGAAGCAACTTATGTTCCTGGAGGAGATCTGATGGTTTTCCTCCAAGTGAAACTTCTCTGGGAACCAAAGTAAAGAAGGCAAAATGATCAAATTTTGATTGCTTTACTGTAAAGCCAAGGCATGTGACTTGACCCCGATGAAGAGTGGAAATGAAATGAGATGAAGGATGCGAAGAGATGTAATCAATCATTGGGTGGGTGGGGAATCAGAAAACATTATTCACATTCCTAGCTGCTTCCTCTTGGTAGAAACTTACCACTGAAATACTGTGTGAAAAATTAGATATGTGGATTCACTTATCTTTGCTTTCCAGCTCTGACACAGAACGCTTCCACTCAGAAACATATTTTTTCTTTTCTTTTTTAATCCTTAATTTTCCAAATTTCTTTTTAACCACCTTATGCTTCAGAGGCTTTCAACCATGATTTTTTGTGCTTCTTTTATCCACTCATTATTTTAAATGGTGCTGTTTTCTCAAGCACTCTTATTTGTTTTGCTTTGTCTGATTTTCACACTCTGCAGGGTTCTTCATGTTATGCATCAAATCAGTATCTGTTATGAAGACCCCCATCAGGTAAGAATCTGAGCTCACATCTTTTTTACAGAAAAAATGTAACAGCTTTGCTAAAATGTAAGATATAGCTAATTTCTACATGTGAAACCAATGAAGTGGAGGAGAAAATGCAACTTGCAAGGGAGGGTTTAAAGCATAATTGGAAATGTTTATGTGCAATGTGTTGTTCAAGGCTTTCATGGCTGGAATCACTGGTTTGCTGTGAGTTTTCCGGGTGGTATGGCCATCTTCCATTAGCATTCTCCCTTGACATTTCACCAACATCTATGGCAGGCATTCTCGGAGGTTGTGAGGTTGGAAGCTAGGCAAGTGGCGTTTATATATCTGTGGAATGTCCGGAGTGGAAGAAAGAACTCTTTTCTGTTTGAGGCAGGTGTGATTGTTGCAATTGGCCAGCTTGATTACCATTTATATGCATACCCTACTGGGTATGGCTACAATTGAAATACACATGTTGGTACTTGTGCAGAAAATCAGGAGGCAGAGGGCTTCTACAAGTGAAACAAACAGTTGAAGAAGAGAAACATGCACTGTCAGATTATGTGAATGGGAGTCAAGAACCAACATTGATAGTAGTAAACTGCTTAAAGTGCAAAAGACAAAGAGTGAATACTGTAAATACACAATGCAAAGCAGAAGCGAAAACAGGCAAAAGAAGGCTTTCCATGGACAGTTCCTGGGAAAAATTGAGAGCCAAATTGACAAAGAAAAAACATGGCTGTGGCTCACAAATGGAACTTTGAAAAAGGAGAAGGAGGGCCTGATTCTGGCAGCCCAAGAACAAGTCATTAGAACAAATGCCATCAAAGCCAGAATTGAACAGTTGATGACAGATCCTAAGCATAGACTCTGCAAGGAAGACAGACTACAAGGAGAGGCATAACACTGTTGCTCAGATGATTCATTGGAACTTGTTCCACAAATACCATCTGCCTGCAAGAAAGAACGGGTGGCATCACAAACCTGAACAAGTTACAGAAAATGAACACATCAAACTAATCTGGGACTTCCGAATTCAGACTGACAGAGTTTTGGAGCACAATATCCTGACCTCACAATTGTGTTAAAAAATGAAGTATGGATTGCCGATGTTGCAATCCGAGGTGACAGCAGGATTGAAGAGAAACAACTGGAAAAGCTGACATAAATACGAGGATCAAACTGCAAAAACTGGCACAAGCCAGTCAAGGTGGTCCCAGTGGTGATCAGCACACTGGGTGCAGTGCCTAAAGACCTTGGCCTGCACTTAAACACAATTGGCTCTGACAAGATTACCATCTGCCAGCTGTAGAAGGCCACCTTACTGGGATCTGC